CACTTTGATATCCGCAAAAATGTCAAGGATTCTAATGACAACGAGTAAGGCAGGCCCGTCATTGACCATCAATCGGCTGGGTGGAGGGATCAATATACGTATGAAGCCATTGCTGGTCTGGTAGGGGGCGAGTCTATTGGACACACTGTATCTGCAACTGTCTCAGAGAGCGATATAATTCAGAGCGCAGAGGTCGACTTACTGCCACTTTAGTTTGTCGTAGGCATTCCACAGCGATGAGCACTTTTGACAACGCGGACGAGCCCGATCACTCCAGATGTGGAATGCATCGTGGCGAATGTTGATGAACTGGGGACTACGACCCCTTAGTGTGAGCCTTGCAACTGTGCCTGAATATTGACAAATGTTCACTTAAATGTACCCCACCACCGCATCTTCAAACGGCGTGAAGGGCCGCTTTGGCTGGAACGCCTTCGAGTGTGAAAGACAAACATAAGTGTAGGGAGATGTCAAAGAAAAGATATGGAAGTCAAGCCTGTGTGTGGACAGTCTGTTTCTACTATCTGCTTGAAATGTATTCATCGGCACCGCCCCGCTCTCTCTCTGTTGTGCTTTGGTGATCTCGTTGGGGGCTTGGAGACTGTATGATATACTGAGCCGACTATTTGGGGCATTTTCGTCTGGCGGGTTCAATAGATGTCCAAGTTCTATTTCTAATGATTGATTTGGATCTTGTCACGAACAGATGATAGAAGACCTGCTCTGTTTAGCTTCTAAAGGCGCGGATCACTAGTCCGAAATCTGAATATATTACCTGGATTTTAAAGTCTAAGACCAATAATTATACGAGATGCAGGAAAATGCGTAATGCTGATGCCATGAGACTATCCGGTTTCTTGGGAGAGTTCGCCGGTAGTGTTGAAGAACATAATCGTCCGTCAAATAATTATTGACAGGGTTGGTCACTTTTCAATAAGTGTGTGGTTACGAGTACCAGCCAGTAGTGAAGTTCCTTTCGGCGACAGCAATCAGCCTTCTGCGTATATCAAAACATGGCCAAGATGCCTAATTCCGTAGCAAATTGTTGAAGCGAGGTACTCTATCGATTGCGTTATGATTATACATTGAAAACTTGGAGAGACATGGATTGCCGCGCCATTTATGATGGACAGAGTGCCCAGACTCTTGTCATGATTCATATTCTCACTACATTTGCGGACTCAAAAGCCTTCCAGAAGCCGAGAGGGGATTGCTTTCGGGACGACCTAGATACTGTACCAACGTGGGGAAGGCGTGCCGCTTGATCGGCACTCCACAAGGTTGTCGGGGAAGCCAGAAAGTTCCGGGTGAAGCGTACGTCGATGTAAGAGAGACGGTGGTTTTACTGAGGCTCATGCGGTAGGGGCTCTTCCGACCAATAGAGGGCGTGAGAATTCAAGTCGACCCCGACTTAATCAGAGCATTATGGATCAGGGCATTGTAATCCAATCGGAGATTCCGACTTGGTATTTCGAGCGCAAAACTAGCGATGCAGTGCCAAATCAGCGCAAGTCATCCGGGCGATCGCACGTATGTTTTATGATACAGAACCTACTCAAATCCAAGCCAATGAGCCACGATATGAATGAATCTCTGTGCTCTTCGATAAGCGTTTCCTCGCTTCAAGAGCCCCATGTGATACCACGTCGCGTGTACTACCGTCTGAAAGGAATGTTTTGGGATGAAGGCGTACTTTCTGACATGTTATATTGTTTTAACGACCATGTCCTGTATGAAACACTCCAACTTTAGTCACTGCGTACGAATTTCTGTTAACAAAGTCTCTTTTGTAAATATGCAGGCGATAGCTATTGTTTTTATAGTTTGGGACTAAGAGATTGGTTATTTTTCTAGAACACTAATTAGTTAAGCTGGCGGGTATAATTTCTAAAGCTCGATGACTTAGAATTACTGTTTTTTTATAGTTCCTTTATTCACGCCAGTGCTAAAGAAATACTTATATGCACTCGAATACTATTGATTCCATGTAGCAAAACGCTTACGTATAGTAGTGCGATCACACCAATATGCTCTTGAACGTATAGTTTCACTGGACATTGGCTTCAAGTGTATTCTCGGCGGGCCTCGGACCACTGCATTCGTTGGTCAGCTGGTTTTTTAGGAGGGGTTGACTAGGCTTTGTACCTTATTGTGCTGACTGCTACTTAATTACCTCATTGATCCAACACGATTGAGGACACCACCGACTCGACTGTGCGATGATCGCTTCACATCAGCTGCACGACAGCTTTTGCATCTTGCATTCAAAATCCTCATCCTTGAAAAGCCGCAATGGACCACTGTAAACAAGATTACCTCCTGTATCCAAGAGCATTTGATGAGTGGTGTGCATATTGAAGCATTTCAACATATCGTATACGATGGGCACGTTCTTTGACCAAGCCTTATCGACCGGATTCTCACTCGCCTGGCATTCGTGAGACATCCATCTCCTCTCAGAGCATGCGCAACGTCCTGTGAGGACATATCATTCTGGATTCCTTTCTTATCATCAAGTTTGTTTTCCTGATGCTGGCCAAATAGGTTGCAGCAATGCTCTTTACCATCTCAGGTTTTCCTGACGCAGCACACTTTTCAACCCAGTCTTGGACTGGCAAAAAGTATTCCCGCCTGCAATTTGTGCAACCATCGACACTAAACAAATTCCGTACCTTTTTTATTTTCATTGGTGCCATCTATTTCGTTATGATTACTCTGGTGAGCAGCAGTTCTCAATCGATCTTCGTGGCGAGTGAGGGGGGACGTAACATGACCAGTCAAGGACAAAGGCTTGGTGGTGATGATCGCAGCTTATAGCAGAAAATAGGCTTACAGGAACTTTCAGCTACTTTAATGGTAATAAAATTAAATAAGTCAGCGAAGTGAAACAGATGAAATAGCGAAGTTTGGTGAAGTTATGGTTCTAGTGGTATGTTGTAACATAGAATGGTTTGCGAGGTTTATTCCTGGAGGCGGTTGTCTAAGTGGTGTGTGGGGAACAATGTATACAATGTAAGCGGATCCTTGAGATTTAAAGTTGCTGCAATCATTGGCAGAGTCCAGGGGCGAGTAACGGTAAACAAAGACAACGTGTCCCTCTAAATGATAACGTGTCATATCTATGAGTCTCTTTTTATGCCAAAGTGGGTAACTGCATGTTCTCCAACTCTGCCCACAGATGTAACAAAACTCCCGCCCGCAACCAGAAGTAGTCAGTATCAATCTTTCTATCTGCTGCGGTACTCACTTACCGGCATGTTATATGATTGCAGCCGTGTTGAAGCTCGACTATAGTTTAACAGTGGAAACATCTTTTCCAGTTCGCATCATCGGCCATTCTCAAAATACTCTGAAGTACTTCATCCATCGGGCAGTCAACTCCGAGATGCGCGAAAGGACGGAAAATCAAATGTGTTTCTTGTTTACAAGTCAGACAAGTACCAAGCTCATCTTGGATAGAAAATAGAGGAATGAACGTCGAGCATGTCGGCTCCGCGCAGTATAGGCGATCTTTGGCCGTCTATTCTATTACTCTCCCACTGAAGGCTCGAAGCCCTTTAGAGTTCAGAACCCTTAGAGTAACTCCAGGTGCCACCACCTTACCGCGACACCGTGGTGGATACAAGTATTGGTCCTTGATTGCTCCAAGAAATATCTGCTTTATATAATCACGGCAGAACTCATAACCACACGAGCCCCTGAATATAGTGTGGCCTTTTTTTGAAACATGAAACACATTCCTTTCAATGCTGGAAGCTGAGGTGATGGGATTGAACGCTACGAATATTCACCGTGAGCATAACCATCTCTTACAGTTATTCGGCTCATCAAATCGTCATGGTGATTGACACGCATCCTCATTCTCGTCTTTTAAAACAGCTTCAGGTGGTCTTGGTGAACCATGAGCGGCCTGGTCTTCATTGCGGATCTTGCTCCACAATGCCTTTGTCATTGCTTAGCGATGCGAGAAAGCTTTGATCCGTGGCAATTGCAGTACTTGTGTTGAGGGCTGATTTACCGGCTTCGATGGAAGTTTGTGTGGTGATAATGCTTCTTCTGTGTGCATAATTGCAAGCCCCCGATCACTGAATTCTCCTGATCTTTCCTTGCCTTCTCTCGATCTTTCAACTTATTCAAATCTTCAAGAAAAATCTACAAAGCCCAGATATTGCTTTGAGTTATTGTGGTTCCTTCCACCTTTTCCTTTGATATGTGAGTCAAGGGAATCCTGATGCTCTTGAGAATCACACCCACGAATGCCGGTTAAAATATCAGGGCAAGGTTTTCTGTAGCATACTCCAGATCGGATACGACAGGGTCCTGGTATGACCATGATCGTGCACTTTTCCCGATAACTTTGCGGAATTTTAAATAGAGTTATATGTTCCTTATTATTTGAAATGTCCAGCCCAGCCCATGGCTCACATCGATGATTAGGCTCCAAGTCAATCCTCTCATGAATATTCATCTCACCCGGCACGGTATCAACCAATGTATCGCAGCCCTTGCCTGTATCGGCATCAGTTGCAATGAATTACGGAGACAAAACAGGTGATCTTACTGATAGTAAAGGGACATCAGCACCCTATCTATTTCAGTAGACCCTGCTGCTTATGGGGCTGCAATTGGTTTATTTGTCACCTGTGTAGTTCTGCAATGAGCCCGATATCTCTTGGCCCGTTCAGTATCAAGCATACGGTGATGAAGCACCCGGGGGTCATTATGCTTGTCATTAGCAAATCTTACGTGCTGAATGTTCTGCATGTTTAGTTGTAGCGCATGAGTAATATTTTTAATGACACTAGTCTCAAAGAGGGAAACATCACGCAACGCTAATCTATTAGAGTGAAGCGTACGGAGGATCATAGCGGCCACTCCGCAACAACAGTTTTCCTCACTAAGTCCATTTACCGCTTTCTCAACCGCTTCCTGTATTAGTTTACTATAGAATCGCCTATTTACTTTCTTTAATTCTTAATAGATTACCACTGTACATAACTATGCCTTGTCCAGCCATTGATCTTGAGCCATACAAGGCTGAGATTACAGCTTTGTATCAAAGAAATGAGCCAGTGGCTGCAATACAAGATTATCTGAAGGAGTCATTCAATCTTCAGCTCAGCAAGCGTACACTTGAATCACGTCTTCAAGAATGGGGTTTGCTGCATCAGGATCGTACAGTCAGTATTAATACTGATGTACAGGCACGAATAAAAGTACTCTTTTTCCAGGTTGGCCTTGAAGATAAAGATATCCTTTATGTTTTACATCAGGAAGGAGTGACTCTGGCACCTTGTACACTCAGGCGTATGCGTAAAAGTCTTGGACTTGTACGCCGTACTGATTCTCCTTTTGAGAGACAGCGTCAAACTGAAGCTATTCTACAAGCTCTTATTGAGGAATCTGAGAAAGGCAAGATCCAAGGATTTGGTAGAGGATTACTCCACCAGTATATACGTACAAAAGGCCATATCATTACTCGGTAAGACATGACTTCTACTTCTGTATATTATACTGATTGTATCAAGAGCTCGCCTTTTTCAAGCTTACCGTACAACATTTCCTGATCGAGTCTTTGCCCGTCGTCATCAGCTGCAGCGCCAACGAGGAGAATATATTGTACCTGGACCAAATTTTCTTTGGTCAGTGGATGGTTATATGAAGCTGGAGCCGTACGGGATTGAGATATATGCAGGAATAGATGCCTATTCTCGCTATATTATCTGGATCTATTGTGGGATTACTACTCGTACAGCTATCAGTGTCTTAAATCAATTTTTAGATATTGTGGAAACTGTACAGCTACAACCACAAAAGATCCGATCCGATCATGGCTCAGAAAGAGGTCGTTTTCAAGATATCTATCTACAGCTTCAGCAGGCGTACGATCCTTCTATTCAGAAAGCTGATTGCTGGATAGAAGGACGAAGTGCTGAGAATCAAAGAATTGAGGCTTGGTAGGAGCAACTCTCAAAAAGTGCTCTGTATAAGTCGCGGGTAAGTTATTCTACTTCTGTACAGGATCAATTTCTAATAAGATAGACATATTTCCGTACACTGAAGGATAAAGGTCTATTCAGTAAAAGCTGTACAGCTGATCAGATTGCTTTACTAAGTATTTACATACCTATAATTCGTACAGAGATCTATGGCTATGTAGAACTTTGGAATGTCCATCAAATCCGGAAGCAACGCAATCGGCCAAATTCTGTTGCTGGAAAACCATATATACTTTATCATCATCCGAAAGAAGGTGTACGAGGCTACGGGCTTCCTATTAAACAAGAAGTTCTGGATATACAACGACAATCTGTACACAGATTCGGTAAGTAATCTCTAGATATCTTCTGTACAGCCTAAATACTAATTAATATAGATATTGATGAGTATCTACCAGAAGAAACTCTTCGTTTCTGCCGTACAGTATTGCTGGGGATTGGCTTTGACCCTGAAAGACCACCACCACTTCAGCCAGAGGATGAGGCAGCCCCTTTTCGTACAATCTATTTGGAGCTAAGAGAGATTATTAGCTTTCATATAGATCTCTTTGTTGAGCCTTTTCTTGGCTTATTATCCCGACCAACAGCTGGCCGACGTTCAAATCCCGAGGTGGATTAGTGTTGTACAAAGAAAAAGTTAAATTTCTTTATACAAAAAAGTCTAAAGGATACTTTCTTTTCTATAAGAATACTATCTCCTATTAGACTATTGTTTTCTTGTACATACTGACTAGCAAGTATCAAGATGTCTTTTGAATTTATTGATTTAATCTCTTCTCCTTCTTCTTCTTCTTCTTCTCGTCCAGATACTGCATTGTTTGTACCCCAGAGGATTCCATCCTTTGTCTCTCGTATATCCCAATCTCGTTCATCATTAGGCCGGCGAGGAGCTACTGTATTATCAAGACAGAGTCAAACACCACGCCGTCCATTCTTCTTTAAGATAATCCTCACTTTTTATCTTATGACAATCGATGTGCAAGATACCCAAATCACAAGGCATCTAGAGCAGATAGGTATAATCAGCTTTTAATATCTTGTACAGAGAATACTAATGTACAACAGAGTATATCAAAACAGCAATCCCTGCTCGTACAATCGAATCGTTGTATGACTTTATCTATCAAGACCTTCTGGACAATATGTCTGAAAGTATTCGGCAATTGTACAATCCACAAAGAGATGATATATACCGCTTGGCAACCAGTATCAAAGGAAAGTCTCCGATGTATCTGAGTCCAATTGTGGATATACGGCAAGCAGTCGAGGATCTTCTTTCAAAGTGGTTTGAACCTCGTACAACTGTTGGTGAAAAGGAGTACATGATTTATTTGGTTATAGAACAGACGAATACACCGGACAAGGAGATTATTCCTGTCAAAGAGAAGGTCAAAGTCAAGAAGGAAAGAAAGATTAAGAAAGAGATCAAGGAGGAGATCAAGGAGGAAAGGATGTCTACTCCTATTTCTCAAGCAGATGATGGCACTGTACAATCCGATCTCTGTACACAATCTGAGAGATCCTCCGAGGCTGTACAAGATTCTCGAAAACGTGCTGCAAGCGAATCATCTCCAATATCTGGTGCAATTCCCTATCGGACGAGGAGAAGGCATGTTATTGATGAGGAAGATATGGACCGAATACAGCAGTATGGACCATTTGTTAGTAGATAATAATTTTTTATTGCTTAGTCGTACAGGTGCCTTAGGCAGATTAATTCACTGTTGTGCTTCTTGTTTTTCCTACTTAAAAATTTCTGTATAGCCTCATCTCTTTCTGACCACAACAACAACACTACCACCACCACTGCTGCCCCCCACTACCACCACCACCATGTCTGCGTACGTGTACAGGCGATAAAATGGCTGAGTTTTCATATCTGAGTTACCTGTCTGATTTTCTATGTACTAATTTATTGTTTTTGTACATAATAGCAACCAGCGTGCTGCTGTCCCTGCTTTCACTCTCGAAGGGTGGTTCCGCCGTATGTACGAGAACCTTCCTGCCGGCCAAAACCCAGTCCTGCCTACCAGCAGGCCTGAACTTCTTGCCCCGTTTGTACACACGGACGAGGGACGCCGTATGCTTCGTTCCCTTCCGGGGGTGGACGTGGAATTTATTCGCGGCAGGATATCTGCACGTCAAATCCAGATGCATCGGCCCTCGTACGTCAATGCCCTGCTCATACAGTCTCGTGGATATCAGTTGGCTGTACCTTGTACACGTTGCCGCAGTGGACAAGGTAGACTGGTGTTTCCCGATTGTCGCCAGGTACCAGGCGCTTTCGGCGGAGCTTGCGCCAACTGCAAATGGCCTGACAAAGCAAGTCAGTGCTCTGTACGAGACGAGCTGTGGCAGCCACTCGGTGGTTTAAGAGAAGGGCCCCAAACGGGGGGTGGTGGCCGGCGTACACGGGTTCTTGGTTCCTCTCAGGATAATCCGATCAATGTTGACGCAGAGATCATTGATTTGGACGAGCCAATCAACTTGGATCCTGAAGAAGGTGACCATCCTAATGATCCAATCAACTTGGATCCAGAGGAAGATGGAGAATGGCCTGAGATTGAATAGGTACGTACATATTTTATTAGTTTGCTTTGTACTCTTGTACATCATCATCAGCACCTGCACCTGCCCCCCTAGTCGTACAGGGTTTGTGTACGGCACCTGAGCAAGACTTGCACCTCTACGTGGTGCTCAGGACTAGTAGCCAAATTGGTGGTGAAACTAAGCAAGTCTATGGTCATCAGTTCTGCCGGCAGAAATTGATAAGATCCCGTTGTTGCGGAGTGGCCGCTATGATCCTCCGTAGAAGCGTGACGCTCTTGGTCCAAAAGGGAAAACTCTTCAGCTTCGACAGCGAGGTATACCCTCAATATACATTAAAACACCGAAGCATCAATTGAAATATATTCAGAATTGGTCTTTAAATAGCTTAAATCCGTGAAACCTCTAATATTTTACGGTTTTGCCCCTATTTCTAAGATGTACTGTAGTCATGGAGTTCAATATGTTGAGGGGCATGTTAACGTTTATGCCTGATAAAAGGCTCACTGCTGCGGAAGTCATGGAGTCTGAGTGAATGCTACGGTGGGCTCTGCCAGTGCTTAAAAGAATGTTAACTACGTGACATGTGGTATTCTCTTGAGTTCGACATTTCTATGTGGATATTTTTGCCAACTTTCGGGTGTTTCATAATGCATTTGAGTATGGAACTTGCTCTTCTATACTAAGGTAACTTGCCATACCACGAACTAAACTCATCAAAAATGTCTAATCGTTGCGCTATATATTCTGATTATATGCTTCTAAAATCTCCCTTTATGCTTATATAACCCCGCTGCGGCTGAAATGACTCTTATCATATGGTGCTCAATAAGATCGGGGTAGGAATCAAAATTTCAAACGTATATCTTTCCATATGAGCATCATGCTCTATACATCAACTAGATAATGTTTAGGGAGTGTACATAAAATTACGAACCCCAGTTGTCTCTTAGGCGGTTGAGAAGGCACTAAAGATCTTCGAAAGACCATCTGCAATAAATTCCTGTGATACATGTTAGCTGGTGAACAAGTTTTTTATAGCTTAGTCCGAATCAACTCACGGATTGTTCCGATATTGCAGATTCGAACCTCTTCCAGCTGATTTTCTCCTCATTACCTAGCCCTCTGATCGCCGCTGCTGAATCCACTGAGCTTTCCCCCTGTACTTCGTGGACCAGCTTTAACAAAGCCACAAGTTCTATTCTAGGGATGAAAAGCATAGATAAATCGTCAGTCCGTTTTGGCAGCGATGGTAGGACAATACGGTAGCTTTCGCGAAACGGATTTGCTGTCAGCGTATCAGCTTCGGGGGGACACTCTGAAAGGACATCTACAATGTCGATCGATAGCTCGCTCTCGTCCTCTGTAACAACGACCTGCTGGTCGTGTTCAGACCTAGAATCAGTTTCTTCTTTTTTGGATTCGAACCATATGAACCGAGGGACCGTTATTTTTGTGTCATAGCCGGTGCTGGTGCCAGAGCTGGCAGGAAGAGCAAGGCTTCGGAACAACCGTCTGCGGAAGTCGCTGGCGTCTTTACCGCGGATGGCAATATACCAACCACCATGTGGACCCCAGTTTCCTGAAGAATAGCGATGCACAGTCCCCGGAACTTGGGTGCCATGTCGTTGGACAGGACTTAGCATCAGTAGACAAACTGCACGCACAAAGCCATCCTCATCGATTCTGGCCTGTTCTGAGCCGTTGCCTGATGCTGGAAAGGGGTAGAATGCATGCGCGCTGCAGACTTTGAAAAGCAGCGCGGGTGCATTCGGTGATTCATTGACTCCAAATTCAGAGAGCCTCTCCGCAACCAGGCACTTGAACATCGCCTCAGAGAGATCTGCGTCTCATGTCAGCCTCAGGTTCAGAGCAACTCACCATGACCAGCCATAACCTACATCCGTTCTTTGGGTCGCATAGTCGCCGGAATGACTGTCGGATGTCTTCTATTACTGCAGGTTGAACAGACCGTTTGAAACTGGTGAGTCTCTCAGATAGCTCCTCTGTGAACCTCTGGTAAACGACGACTGGACTGGATTAGAACGAGCTCAGATGACGCCTTATTTTGAACCTCACCTTGGCTCATGAGACCTCGATCCAGGAAGTCTTGAACTCTTTCTTTGGAGGTTCGACGGCGTTCGTCAAGTCCATACTTGTCGAAGCTTTCAGAGCTGATGATGCAGTCTGGTTCTATCTCCATGATTGTGACGTTGATGACCTGGTGTAGAGGCCGTTGATTGTGTTGTCTAATGTAGACGGTGGCTATAAAGACTGCCAAAAGGCAGCGTGTCAAAAAGCGGAGCAATCAGTCACGTGGTGGGCTGGATAGAGCGATGATGATGATCGGCGCCCGGGTCTTATACACTTCCGTTGTTACTTGAGCCCTAATGCCAAGAAGGGCTAAATCTCCTTAGGAGAAGCTCCGAGTAGCCCCTACTCCATACTTTGGTATTGGAAGACGCGCGCTGACGCACGCTGCGGGCCCTGAAACTGGGTGCCTGCACAGAAACCCCTCTTTTAGGTCTGCAGTGGAAGCAGCGGACCACACCAGGCCGAGCAGCAAAAGGGCCGGCGCAGTCACGATAGAGGAGTATGTTCTGAGGGGTTGAGTGCGAGCTAGAAGCACGTGAGGGTTGACAGCACCCGCAGAGTACCTCGGACGAATCTGCACCAATAGGAATCTGGCAGTCTAAGCATTGTCGTGTTTCGATAGGAGGGGGTGAACGTGATAATCGGCAAGCCGGGCAAAGGGCAGGTTGAATAGCTGCGGATAGACGAACCTGTCGAGCATAATCTCGGCACATTCGACGGGACAGCATTATCAAGCACCAAGCCCCCTAGTGTCTGGATATGCGAGGTAATAATAGGAAAGAGATGAAGTGACATTTTGAAAGGCCCCATAGAGCATTTCAAATAGCAGAGCAGTGGGGGTGGAAGAGGAGGGATCATATTTTTAAAGAAGCGGTCATGGCAGTATAAGTGATGCATGAGATACATATAGGCCTAGGAAAGGACCGCAAAGACCAATGACCGGACCGCACCAGACCGCACCACGGTGCGGTCCAGGTTCTCAGATTTAGGGACCGAACTACTGCGGTCTGGTCCGGTCCTGCAGTTCTCTAGATAAGATAAATAGATCTAATTGTATAATATATATTGGCCGGATTGATTATGTAGAGATATAATCAAATATCTAATATAATTTAATTGAGTGGTATACTGTCTTTTACTTGATATTTAGTAATATATAATATATAACTCGTCTATATTTTTAGTATTCTACTTTAAATATTTATACTATAGAAAATTTTATAACTTTTTTTTAAGTATATATAAAATCTTTATTCTATTTTAATCTAAACTTTATATATAGTTATTCTACCGAAAAGAGAATATTGTGGTAAAATTATATAAAAATAGTCCTCCGCGGGGGACTGCCAAGGTGTCCCGGGGGACCATAGTGCGGTCCTAGGCCTATAAAAAAAAGACCAAGCACCGGCGGTCCCGGTCCCGGTCCCTAAAGTTGGGACCGAGACCGGACCATTCCTAGGCCTAACTGGGAGTATACGGGACCACACGCTACGATTGGATATACTCCAGCGCCTCCTCCTGAGGGAGTTACAATGGGAGTAGACAGTTATAGGATATATAAGGACACTTATTTATATACTTAGTATAGTTCTTCGTGATCAACCAACATTGTTACTACAGAGTTACCTTTGCTAGTAAACCAGTCTCAACTCGTTCGCACTTCTCTAAACTACTGAGTATACGTACTTGGTAGGCCTGGCCCTTTGGACTCCAGTCCCGTATCAACAGTAGTCTTGTGTCGACTGCATGCCCGTATCGACGGCAGTCCAACAAAGACTTCCGTCTGCCAAAACCACAACGCATTGACAGCGGAAGTTGAAGAGCGACTTCAGGTTAGTAAACCTCTACACGTGGTCCGCTAACTGGTTTGGGACTTGACAACGAAGCCCCGGGGTGACAATACTCTGATACAAGACAATACCAAAGTATGGAGCAGGAGCTACTCGGAGCTGCTCCAAAAGAGATTTAGCCCTTCTTGGCATTAAGGCTCAAGTGACAACGGAAGTGTATAAGATCCGGGCGCCGATTTTGAATTTCGCTGTATAAGAATGTCGAGTTCTCGCTGTTCTTGGCTGAATCCGCACAACAGCAGAGTATACACTGCCATATCTAAATTCTCATCTCGTTACAAGACTACCTCCCCCGCATTTTAAATCAAAGCCTTCCCAAAATGAAGTTCCAAATTCCTCTGCTCCTCCTGGCGAATGCTTTTACCTACGCCTTGGCTGAGGCGGCCGGTGCTGGCACGGCCCTTGACGTTCGCTCCCATGCTCGTGACTTCGTAACAAGAGCGAGCGACGCTCTGCCAGACCTTGACTTATCTAAGAGGGCTGCTCCCCCAGTGCCCGCGGGCAAAGACGCGACGAGGCTTCACGTATGGATTCGCACAGATGAGCGTCCGTCTACCTACGATGACCGCAGCGGCGCGAAACACGATGGGCTCAATCAACTCATGAAAGACACTGGCGGTCGCCATAAGGACGTTGTCATCGGCAATAGCAAAGGCTACTACGAGTACGGGCTCCAATTCAACGACCGCAGTTGGCAAAAAAAGCCGAACGGTGACGGTGCCGCTGTGAGCGAGTACGCCGGACCATATGTGGAAGTGAAAGGTGGGCATGAATCGTACGAGTACAAGGGGGAAGTAAAAGACAAGAGGAAAACCCTTAACAGCATTTCTAACACGGGTAAGAAACACCTCCCTTCGCTGAAGCATATTAAGATGGCCTTTAGAGCACTAACAATGTTATTTATAGCAAGAACTGAGATCTCAGGAAAGGTCTACAACCACCAGTCGTACAACTGTGGGACCTTTGCACAAGATTTGGTGCATGCGCTGGTGTGACAAAGGCCGATTTGAGGAAGACATGAGTACAAGCATCACTCGGCAACTTGTTTCACCGACATATCGTATTCAAGCCATAGAGTGCGTGCAAACCTGGATGAACATATTGTTCCCTTGATTTTTTTCTATCTCGTTTGGAAGAACAGGCTGCTTTTATAGACGAATTAGATGCTGTTCAACTAGTTCATTCCTGATATCCTCGGTTCCTTCTGATTCTGACTATGTTGAACAATCTGAATTTATTAATCTCGATTGTTTTCTACAATTCCTGTTGTTTCTTAGCTGTTTCTGTTGACATAAACCCCTTTTTGTGCGAAGATTCTCAGTGTATGCACGCAGTTGTTATGACCTTGCTCGGACATTTCGGCTTTTCTGGGCTTGATAAAAACTAGCAATAATGATATTCACTGTCCGGCTGTTTTAGTTTTTGATTCTTCACTACCCTGTCCAACATGTTCTATTTTTATATTTTGCCCTACGGCGTATGCTGATGCGTAGTAGCCACTTATTTACCTACACATTGCTGTAAAAGATTCTCTATTCTTTGCCAATTTTATTACTGTAGCTCATTATGCATTTGCCAAATAAAAGAATCATGATGCTAGAATAGATTTGCTGATTGACAAAATCTAAGAATAGCATTTACGACCAGTTTTACAGTCAGCAATTAGGGGAAATATGACTCATAGTATGAGTCTGCCTAAAGTTTTGATTCATTCACTATCCAAACTGTTCTATTTTTATATTTTGCTTTACAGTGTATGATGGTTCGGTTCGCTCCCGATAAGCTTGGCCGACGGCGTTCGGCAGCCTCCCGATCATTGGCATCGGCAGTGCCGACGGAATTTATGCACGGTCGTGGAGCGCAAGTGGAGTTCTCCAACGAGACAGGCAATGTTGTCGAGCAGTGGAATCTGGAAATTTGGATATTTGAGCCCCAGTTTTTGGCTCGGTGGCCGGAACAGGCCGGATGATGACGATCAACCTGGGATCTTTCTTTGATCAACAGTGCGGAAGAACTGATAGAAAGAATATGATTAGTGTCCTAACAACACTCCTATACCAAACAACTCTAGATTTTGGTCTTTCATTCGGCTTACGTGCTTGCACAGGTCAAGGTAGATCATCGGCTAGTGCCATTTTGAGTTAGTAAACTGCTATCCTACACCGAGTGTGACAGAAGCTACTGCTTGTACATCATCCGTGTATAAGCCCAGATTGGGAAGGTAGTATTGGGTTCATGATCTTCATCAGACTTCCCAAAAGAAGTAATCGGTACACACAATACTGGCCTCCAATCCCTGAATGGCTTTTGTTCGATGATCTTGAAGAATAGTCTGTGTAGATATTGTTTCCCCATGCTAAGGACACTAGCCCCATACTAGTTTCGGAAGGCCATACTAGCGGTCACAGGGTCTAGGCATCGCAGGAACACGTAGAATTGGAAGCTCGGGCGGAATCAAGGTTGACATGCGACTGGGAGACATACTTGATCCTCCGAAACCTATATCCAATGGATGTCATTCCATCGTTTCTCATCTCATGCTTCACCGCCAGATACTCCGGCGCTCTCCTGTTCTAACTGCTTCCTCCAATGCTTCCAGCCCCCATTCTTCATCTCTTCGGGCCCTTTCCGTCATCCGCTGTAGGTGCGCCCGGGGTAGAGCTACACTGGTACTGGCTAGGAGTTGTAACAATGCCCTCGTAGCTTTGGGCTCCCCTAGGAGTCGTCCTTGTGGATATACTTGTCTTTGACAACAAAGCAGAGTGTATAGTGAGTAAAATCGACTATTTCTTGGTTCACTCGATGGATATACTGTGCTGCAAAGGCTGGCCAGCGGCTAGACTACTTGTAGAACAATTCAGATAAAAATATATACTTATGGCTTCTGGATAACTCTAGGTCTCGAGTATTCTTATATACCTAGTAAAATCAGATAGATAGTTTTAAAATAGTATAAGGGTATATTATCTGCCATACCCAGAGTATAAACCTCTCCTCAGACACCCATAGGGGCTCTGGGAATATACCCTGCCTTTGTAGTACTATCTGTTTAGTATCAGAGCCTTCCGAAGTAATCTTCTCGTTTCTAACAATCTTTCTTTTCTGTCTATACTCATATATGAAAGCAGCGAATTCGGAATTCAATTCATAGACACAAGGGCGGAGCCGATTAGATGAAGATTGAGATAGTAGATCTCTGAAGAAGGAAGATTTAACTTCTTGGTATCTTCTATACAATGCTATCTAGAGGATATTGATTATCCGGTCGAGCTGAAAGAATTGAAGCAGGGTTCTAGGTACAGTATCCCTTACAATTGTTTGAGTAAAGTTTATGCAGGGTGTAGCTACGCTGGGTAGAACATTAGCGAGGTGAAAAGGGAGAAAAAAAAAAAAAAAAAAAAAGAAGAAAACCCTAGTACTGTCACAGGACCAAGGCAATTGAATAGCTTAACTAACACTTTTAGATACATTCAGCAGCAAGTTATTACTCATTCTATCCCACTTCCCCCTTAAAACAGTTGCTCCTGCAATTTAAGGACGAAGTCACAAAAGTGATATAGCTCTTATTAGAAGCTTTTCAACATTTAAGATAATTTGATGGGATGCATCTTGCAGTACCACCAGATCCAGTAAAGGTGCCACCCGTACAGCAAGTCTGCACACATATACTGTGGTCATCGGGACAATCATTGTTAGATGAGCACTCTTGAAGGACGTCACTGCATGCGGCGCAAAAGACGCAATAGCCAGCGTTTTTATTATCCTGACCAATGTGGCAAGCAGTTCCGCCCCCACAGCCACAGGTTCCGCAGCCCACTTCACCACATTGGTTGTTGTTGGGGGAGCAATTTGGGAGAGGTCGGCACTTCCCGTTCTGACATTGCTCATTTTGCCCGCACTATATTAATGTTAGGAGCCTGTGATTTTCATGAAAGTAAAGGGCTATGCACGGGAGAGGAAGAGGAATGGCAATGGCAACAAATTAAAAAGTAATTATTTGGATGTGATTTCAAGCTGGAAGGAAAGACAAGGTGATAAACTTACTTGATTACCACAGCTGCCGCAGTTATTATTATCATTACTGGTCTCTCTGCATACTCCAGAGCAAAGCTGCTTAGTTGGCGAGGTTTTAAGAGGGCCACAATTGTAACATGGGCCTATTCCATGAGCTGCTGGTGATGTACAAGCACTGCCAGCATTGTTAGGGAAGTTGGCGGCACACCACTGCGCGCAAGCACTATTGCCTGGGCCAGCCTGGGAATCCACCGCAGCAGCTTTTAGGCATAGTCAGTTCATGATGGCAAGATAAGGTATTGTCCGGTGAGGGAGCTGCAGCGTATATGAATATTTAATTTAGAGACTCACCCAGAATAACTATAACAGGAATTAAAAGCCTGTGCATTTTTAACGTATTTATTGAACAGTATGTTATGACCGAGGTGACCTTCATGTCAGGGTTTGCTGGTTCTAACAACCACAATAAATTAAGTAGCGGAAGGGAGAAGATTGTTTATGCTTAATATAGAGCTCAAGGTTTGGGAGCCAAATCTAGATTGCAATAGGCAAGGAATCAGTCCACTTTGACTTTTTCTATACATTTAGGTGTACCTTTCCACTCATGCTGCATTTCCCTTCAGTAATTTCTGAAAAATATGGCTGTAACGGATACCATGGCTCCGTGCGTCTCCTGACGTCAAGCATTTGTACCACTAACCAATAATCTTGCAAATTCATAGCGAAGTATATATGACGTCGGCCAATTAGTACCTGGCTATCAGCCAGTAGGGTTGACAGCCGATGACGTCCCAGTCCCATGGTACAACCTCGTACCTCTAGCTTAGCATGCTACTTTTGATCAGCCCACCTGGGAGATACAGCGTTCGTGGAGACTCATGCGTAACTATATGATTACATTAATTTCGTAACTACAGGGTTAAGACTATTCAACTTCGAGAGGTTTTAGAGCAAGGCTCTTCGAGACCCTGGGGTTTAATTGTATCGCACACTTCTTGCTCCGTTTGTGGTTCTTTTGCCTCCCTCCGGGGACTTTTCCCACGAACTTGCTAGCTCAGGCCATTCCAGCGACTGTATTTATAACTTCTAATATTATCTGCAGGACATAGAGGCTGGCTTTAAGTCTACTGTATCAGCCGCCACGGAGTCCCACAGATCTGACTGAAAGGTTCAAAGCGGGTAATTTTCGAAGAACTACTACTTGCACCTGGATTCGAACAATCCCCTGCATTAACCATGAATGGGTTTTACTCACTTCGTGGGGGAGTGACACCTGTGCAGAATTGAACTATAATAGCCCTGCGCCTGATGCATATATTGCAGGCAATTCTGTGTGTATTGATCCTGCAAAAGGTGTTCCCCGGCCACGGGAATGGCTGTTTGATGTTCCAGGGGCATCGGCCAATTATACCCCACCAACAACACTCCATATAGTGCTCAAGAAAGCGTGAAAGAGAGAACAAAATCAAAAGACTGAAGAGAGAAACTAGTTGTTGCATTAATAGAGGGAAAGGAGGGACCATAAAGTAGCAATATCCCAATGGGTCCATGCCCTGTAAATAATTCTTTGGACTTGTTGAACATGCAGCATTCATGTCGGCAGATGTCCCGACAAATACTCAGGATACATTAGCCGTCGCATCATAAGAACAAAACAAGGTTGCTATAGCTGACATGTTATAAGAAGAGCTATCTATCGAAGGAGATCAGGGGCTCGGAATGCGCTATAAAATTACCTAGCGATCGGTCGTCGCGCTTATATACAATATTAAATTGTTGAATTGGAGCACAACAATCCTCCACTTGCCATTGTATGGCGAATTACACTCGAGATCATCCTGCTTCTCCACTATCATTTTCTTATAGTCAGTCTTGTATGAAGGCCAGAGACTAAATGAGTTAACAAACGACATTAAATCTCAGGAGTAGTGTACATATCAAACTAACTCTCATCCGGGATAGCACTAATCAAATATACCCGGAGAGCTCCAGCGAGTAACAGAATCTATCCCAGGAAGTGCTCTCCTGACGTGGGAGTATAAGCCAATCTTCGCAACGAGAACGAATATGAGGGGGCCGGATCCCCGTGCCTATCCCAAAAGCTCGGCTTCTTTTACTTACCGTGCTGGGCATATTTGCTTCTCATTCGAATCCTCTCCCCAAATACGTACAATAAGAAGGGATATGGTATGAAAACCACGGTCAAACAACCAAGCAATGTACAAGCCCAGCCTACACCTAGATTATGGAACATTTGGGTTGCAAATAGGGGGAATCCACCACCGAAAGATGATCGTAAGAAGTCGTTCCCAGCAAGAACTGAGGCTGCATATCTCGGATACGCCTGTGCTTCGTAGCAGAAAATGCCATTAAAGATAAGGTAGCCCCCAAATGAAAATAGCATAGAAGCAATAATAGGCACCATCCAATGGATACTTGTAAAATTTCCTGTCCACCCAAACCAGAAAAGCGATATTGGCAAACACACAGCTCCAAGACATGCTGGAGGAAGGTGTTCTTCAGGGGAAAGATAGCCGTTTGGGCCGATCCGCCTGGATTGCCAGCGCCATTTCCAGTAGAAGTAAACTGGAAGTGCAATAAATACTGCCCCTACCATGATACCCAGAAATGCTAGTCCAGTTTCTCCTGGATTGAAGCCGTGTTTTTCTTCAAAAACTATCGGAAAGGCTTCAAACCAGATATATAAAATTCCATAGATAAGAGCAATGTAGAGATTCATGAGAAAAACAATGGGCTCAAGGAAGCAAAGCACAAACGGCCGTATGAGGGCTTCAAAGAGGACATCCTATTCACCCATCGGTCAGTTACAGGAATGGGCACCGGGAAGTCCCTCCCTAGACTTACCCTGGGAGCGACATGGGCAACTTCAATCTCAGCATCAGACGCATACCTCTGATCGCTAGAGATCCGTCGAATACGTCGGGCTCGACGACTGAGGATGTTGGGGGCAAATGTCTCGGGCAGAAAGAAGAAAGCAAGGACCAGGGCAAAGCCGGAGACCCAAAGTAGCTCCCAGATAGTCCACGTCCAGCCCTTGGCGGAGGCAGCGAAACCTCCAACGAGAGGACCTAGCACGGGAGCGGCAATGGCAAAAGATGCCCAGATTGCTATCATATAGTCGCGAACTCTGCGATCCCACATATCTCCAATAGAGGCCCCCCCTGTCGCAAGAACAGGCGAGCCTAGGAAGCCGGTTAGGAACCGAAATGCTAGGAGCATGCCGAAGTTCCTCGCGTATATAACTGCGAATTGAAAGAAAACAAACACTACTAGTGTTCCAACATATACCGGACTTCGCCCTACTGCAGGAAGTTCTGATATTGGTGCCCAGATCATGGGTCCTCGAGCATGTTGAGTCAGCATTGAGTACGATCGACGCGGATTTGTCCTGAGATGAATGTAGCTCACCGAGTCCGTATCCTAGCACAAACAATGAGAGGCCAAGAACTGCAGCTTCCCGACTCACGCCAAACTGTGCAGCCACACCAGGGATTCCAGGTGTGTAGATGGCCGAACCAATGTAGATGGAAAATGTTAAAAGGCAAATAAGTAGAGTGACTAGGCTCTTTTTCTTGACGCTCCAATTTTGTGGATTCTACCAAGCATTAGCCACAAGTAGCTTTCAAGCATATTTTTCGGTCCGTCCCACCTCGCTATCATCCAAAGCTCCCCAGCCAACTACCACAGGCGACCCCTCCTCTATTCCACGCCATGGACCTGCCAAAACACTTCTTAGAGGGGGCCTTTCCCGCTTGCGGTGGGTAGCTTGCGACATAACCGTCCAAAGCCCATACTGCTCGCAGAGTTGCTCGCTACTAGTCGCTTGAGTTCCTTCTTCGCGGGGCTCAGGTAACTGTAGGTATATCTGCCACCCCGAAAGATAATCTTCCTCTGGGTACAGGAAAAGCTTGTAACCAGACAAGAAACGAACTAACTTGCCGAAGGCTGAGTCCCGAATCGTGTCCCTCATGACGAGAACTGCTCTCAGGTACAGAAGTTTGGCGAATAAAGCATCTAGGTCGTTGCGAAAGCGGCAGGTATTCTAATATTCGGGCAAGCTAGCCTCATTGTAAAGCTATAAATATCCCCGGACGGCTTGCAAGTTGTCACGCCATGTGAGCACGACCATATCTTTCCATGGAAAGGCCTTCTATATAAGCCAATGAATGATTTCGCCAAAGATCCAAACAGCCTCTGACGCGAGTCCCTGATGACAGATGAAGATAAAATAAAAGTTCTCTCCAGGGGGGCGTGCTTCGTAATTCGATTACAGCCGTTTTACCGATTGGTTTGAATCATATCAATGTCGTTTGACTACTTCTGCAATATTGATTTGTGTCAGGGATAACATTTCTTAGTAATCAGCTATAGAGATACCTAGCAGCAATATATATGCCAGGAGCGCTTTGTACCCGGCCTTTGGAGATAACAGCGCGCTGGACAGTCTTTTGTATGGCCTTGGATACAATATCGCTCAATCGATTCGCATTGTCCACGACAATGGATCCAAATCCTACATAGACTAGAGGTAAACTCGTATGTAGAAAAGAAAGCAGATCTTCTTGAGAGGTATAATTGCTTGCTGCGGACAGAAACGCAAACCCGCAAATATCGTTATCATTGAATCAATCCTGCGGTTTGGGAAGAAGAGCTGGAGACCTAAGCCAAGGTTTCAGTTCCAAGCTCGGCTCTTTCCTATAAGTCGACGGATGCGCTTACCACAGATATACGTGGGGAAGAAACGTAACTGATGCACAAGTGACAGGGCCTGTGCAGAATCCAGAATATCTAGGTCCAGTGTTTGCTTGCGGATTCTGTTATAAACCGGAGGTAGATCAGTCTTTACTTTTTCTATTCTTTTCTTTTCTTTTATTCGAGATAAAATCATTGATTTATCTACCATACACTGGACCATGTTTCCTCACAAGCGCCCAGGCACGGCTAACTTATCTAGAGTGTGAGTGGCGTGATGTAAAATAAGCGGAAATAAATACTCTGGGATGATGGAATGCCCAAAAATGACATCAACATATACATCCATTCGCACCGCCACCATGCCATGATGTTATTGAATGTCAGGCAACTTCGCTGGTCGTTTCTGTTCGGACGATAATTTCCCCCGGCCCCTTCCCCCGAGACCACACTTGGAAGACCAAAATGAATATGAGTGAAGCATTCATATGGCATATGCCTCTAATGGGTAGCTCACGATCTGCGCATTAGCATAAGGCTAACACTCGAATGAAAACACTCTATCTATTTTATGCTGAACGGAATAATGAAATCTGAAAGACGGAGAACTATATATGATCTGGGCGGGCTGAGCCTTCAGCAGAAGTACAGCTGGAATGGACCACTATTTAATGTGTGTGTTGTTATCCTTTATTCTTGAAGCGAAATAACAATCACATACTGACGATGCAGGCTATTTACGCAGGTATCGCCACATATTTTCATGTCTTCTCCTCTGCTGTGTCATTTGCTCTGGCCGTGCGGGACAGTTTATATCTACTAGACTTCGTGCAGTGTGACTTCCCCTCAGGTAATCGGTGCCAGGGCTGGCTAGAATTTTTATAGTTTGTGCTTGCTAAGCTGAGAGGGTATCAGGAAGGGTATTGCAAGAAGTTTATTGGTATAACTATACAAGTCGAATCAGCCGAAAAATGTCCTGAGCTATACTCTCTGTTTTGGCTGGAGCCCGGTATTATCCCCATTGTACTGCGTAAGGCAGAGGAACATGTAAGCTGGGGAGTGTAGAAGGAAGGCATATTGTATAAGTCCTTGGGTAAATAAGCTGAGTCAATTACAAGAAAATATATTAGGTACTGTAACTACTTGCTATTTCCGATTTTTATAATTGGCGAACTTATTTCTGGCCAGATTCTTTGGTCCTAGCAAGGCCCCTATTCCGGAGATCGGGCCCCGAGGTCTTATTGAGATCGATGCCGCATTCTATATAAGACTCACAAGACTTGCCGATTACAAGAAAACTGTCAGGGCTGCAATATAGAATGCTGTTTATAAATATGCCAGCGATCTGAAACAATGCAAAGTGAAAATAGCCTTCTTCAGCACTACTCCGCAGGGTGGCAGTGTTGTGCTTATGCGGCATGCTATGGTTAGGTTTTCAAGGGCAATTGGAGTTTATTTTAGGTGGTAAGTGTTCAGCGGCCTTAATCTCAGTGGCAAGCCTTTCTTTGTTTTTCCTCTCATTGATAGTGGTGACAGGTATGTCCCGAAACCGAGATATAGTATCTTCTGTATAACCAAAAACAATCATAATATCCTGCAGGGTGTAGCCCCTGCCAGTACACAATTCACCAAGGAGGACAGAAATCTGCTTTCCGATTGGGTGCCTGAAAATGTAAAACAATATTGGCTTAGAGCAGAAGGTACACAGTTACCTGAATTGCTGGAGCGGTTTGGCAAACAAATATATGCCCTAGTGCGTGGTGCAGCTAGGGTTCACTGCACCCACGCCGCCGCTGATTCGTCCATTCTCTCTCCAGTCTCCAGAGTGGAGATCTATTCCGCAAAATCCACGGTGTGTACTCCCGCTAGAATAGTGTATATATTTATTGATTTATCTAGTAATATTCTATCTTATTTTTAAATAGATAAGCTCTTATTTCTATATCTATTTATTTTCTTTCTTTGTAATTTCCAGGTTGTATTTCTATTTTATTAATATTAAAATAATCTGTTGTGATCGTGGCTACGTAGGAGAGCTACCGGGTGTAGGAGAACCCTGCAGATCCACTAAAAGGGCTGCCTGACCCAACGTGTATATAAAGACCGTAGCTACCCCCCAGACCTACAGAAGGTCGGCAACTCTCTACCTCTCATAGCATACCGCTACTTGCAATCTCAAAAAGTTAAAATATAATAGAAAGTTAATCTTAAAATTAAGTAAGCTAAAGAATAACTGGAGCAGTTATTTATAAAAATTAGATATTTACAGAAACAGTATAAATTCTTAAAGAATTATAGAGTTAAGATAAGTTATTAAATCATAACTTGATAGTATTAGAACAGTTAGATAAAAAGAATCTATTAAATACCGAGTGTCAAGGAAATATCTACTATTCAGGGTAGAAAACCTGTCAACTAGGTAAGGGTACGTAGGCTGAAAGCTAAGCAGTAGATATCAGGCAGACAGAAGACTGATTCTTGCCTTCCTCTTTCATTCACACTAGGCTAACTTTATATCCAGAAGAAGCCCCTTATTCTCCCAATAGGATAAGACTGACAAGGAACGGCGTAAATATCAGCCATTAATGGGAACATCAAAATCAACACTCAATCTAAACACGTCATTTTAACGCGTCAATCGATCGAGAAAGGCCCCCTGAGGCCCCAGGAACCGCTATGGAGGTCCCAAACCCCCATAGTGGTGGTCTACCGAGCGCGTCGAGGTGGGCACCCCTAAACGGCGTGCCACCACCATCACCACCATCACCAACACCGATATATCGCGGGGGCCCTAGGGTCTTAGATATGCCTATAAACCTGGAGCAGATAAGCAGCAGCGAATCTAGCAGAGCCCCAAGTAGGGCCAGCTCTAAAAGCAGCAGAACTACACAGAG